AATACACATATTTCAGTACTTTTAAGAGGTTTCGGAGTCATTATGAATTAGTATTTCAGTAAATATAGATAAGAATGTCCTTTATTCTTGGTTTCATACGCCTTGTGACATGCCATTATCTCTAAAATATGATTGATAATAGCGATGTACTTAGGTATATGTAGAATAATATATTTATTATTATAAGCTATTCTAATTAAGGAATCTTCATCTAAACAGTGAGACGATTGTTTAGGCTGTATATGATAATTCTATTGCTATTTACCTAGTTATAAAAAGGAAATATAATAGAATAAAAGCTAATAAATATGTTTATTGTTGAATCAAATATGATGGAAAATACACGGAAATTTGACTGTTAATTAAAATATTTTTATTACCTTTAACTTCGGATTTATTCAACGATTTTTCGTTTAATGACATGAACAATTGTGAAATAGTCGATTACTTGTTTAATTAAATCTAATCAGATTATTTAGATATAATCGATAATTCGTCTTTCCTATAAAAAGAGTCTTAGAAATAATTTAAAATTCTTGTTTAAAATATAATTTATCACTAGGTCTATATATAGACTTAATATGTTATAAAGAAATACATAGATAGCAGTAAACAAATGATAGCTTTGTTTACTTCTATCACTAATATTATCAATAAATAATAAGGTGTTTGAAATGGAAATGAACATAATATTTTTTAAAAACTAATAAGGAATGGTAAGATAAACATAGTAATGGAATGGATGAGACATAGAGAAAAGGAAGCTGGAGAGTGGACACTCTCAATAGGTAATGTCGTTTTGACAATAGATTATGAAAAAGGAGAGAGGTGTAGTTCAGCCAAAAAGGGGGTTGGGTGCTATAAAGAAGTTAGAAAATTGTATAAATTAATTTATATAAGTGCAAAAGTTAATAAAGTCATAAAAAAATATTTTGGTAAACTGCTTGTAATCTTTTATAGTTGAATGTTTATTCTTATTTACTTATCTATAGATATTTTAAGACAAGTAAATAATTAGAAATTATTTTTATATTTTAATTGTTCATAATATGCCTATTGTGGTAATCCACAAGTTCTATGTCGCAATGGCTATTGCTAAGGTGTATAACAATCACTGTAATTGAGACATAAAACAAAACTATTACCTTCTTATAAAACTACTTGTTTTACGAGTAGCTCTACAGCCTAAAGATATTGCAAGTAAATTATAAAGTAAATTAAGGACACTATTGTTTTCATAAAAACAATAAGTGTATTCTACTACTAATACTTTATAGTATAAGACGAACCAGCTATAGGAATATTAATGTAGGGAATAATAAAATTATTGAAATGCGGTACAAAGAATTTCGAACGAACATTGTTAATTCAGATAGCTATTAAAGTTGTCTTAAGCTAAAGTAATAGGGTATAAATTGGCAAGTATATTTTTGAGTCCAGAGCAGTATTGTGATACGAAGTGAATATATTGAGTGGTTTGCGCGATGTTTCCGAACGCTATTGAGATTACTATTGTTTCGACACTTTCAACCCCTTTGTAATGAGTATCAGAAAGTTTTAACGGCTTTGGTGGTCTAGAGGTTTAGAACACCGCTTTATTTCCGAACGTCTATGTGTTCGATTCCTCGCACGGTGCAAACATTTGTATTCATGAGTACGATTGTTTGTGTCTGGGTATTTTCTATGTATATTAAGTATGTATTTATATAAAAAAAGAAAAGGCTTACCTTTTCTTTTTTTATATAAATACATACATACCTACTAACTAAACAACTGATGTAAATACTTATATTTACATCAGTTGTTTAGTTAGTAGGTACACGTACCACTGCTTACGTGGGACTAGATGGCGCTGTGTTTATTGTCCAGGGGTTATTAAGTACCTAACCGTCGTTGTAGATATAGTTTTTACTTATAGAAATAAGTATTAAGGATCATGAACATGGTTAAGATCCTATAGGTATCTTTAACTTGCTATGTAAATGTCTGGATTATATTCTACTTATATCGTCTTTATAATATGGTAGCGGCACCATTGTCAAGTTCTATCTATTAGATACTAACAATGTCACAGCATTAAGTTGGAAGAGGAATCTTTTAAAGAACCAACACATTCTCTCATAACTATATGTAAAATTTATTGAGTCAAATTAAATTTGAAATAAATTTTTATTAGTCAATTCGCTATTATTTTAATTTTACCCGTAGAAAGACGTTATCATTGGATTTATTATATACAAAGCAATATTGCACTCACCAAATAATTCGTTTTTTAATTAATTGGTTACATAGTAAAATTACTAAATTTTAGTAGAGCAATCAAGTACAACAGTTGGTTATAACTTACGTAATAAGGGACTTAAAATTGTTGGTAATTCGTAGATATATAACTTTAAAAAAAATACGTGTTTACAACATAGGCAAGATTTTAGAAGAACTTTCGGAAGTAAACTTGCAATAATGTTCCTTTCTATGTAGTGTAATACTACATAAACAGGGAAGGGATATTTTACCACTTTACCATCCAATGCTAATTATTGTAAGTACTATTACCAAATGGGGTTAATGGTTCCTAAATCTGCTCATATTCAATATACCACTCACATTTTTCTGACCTAAAATAAATATTAGGTATATTATACATATAACGTATATAAATATATTGAAATGCATAGGTAATCATTTTAATTAACATTTTCATAAAATAAAAAATACGGCAAATTGAATAATGTACTAATAAATATCATCTTGTTAATGTCATTCATCTGGTGATTTTTTGTTTTAATGTAGGTACCTACCCATATATGTACGTATTTATTAACCACAGAGTTCTTGTGACACCCCTACGTACCTGGCTACTAGTCTACCTATAGTAACATGATCTTGGACTACTTATTAGTATTGTAGTACAATTCACACAGCGACATCTAGTTCCACGCTAAGTAGAGTTTATAAAATGGTTAGATACTACTAGAAAACTGATATAGATATCTACCTATATATTTTATTAATACCTGCTCAATTTGACGACCTCGGTGGTATAGCGGTCTAGCACACCGCTTTACATCCGATGGTCGCGGGTTCGATCCTCGCACGGCACAAACATTTGTATTCATGAATATGATTGTTTGTATCGGTCTGGGTGTTTTCTATGTATAATATGTATGTATTTACGAAAAAAAAAATATCTATGTATTTGTAACAGTTATCTAGTAGGTACCCATAACACAAGCTTCAGCTAATTGTCCTGAGATTATTATATTATTATTATTAATAATAATAATACTATAAGTATTTATAACATATACATACAATAATTATAAATAATACAATAATATACTTACATAGAAATCGTTATCTAAGCATCTGCCGCCCTCCTGTCGATACGCCCATGAATAATGTTATTATATGTATATATGTTGGAATGGTTGATGATTTAATTTCTTGATCTACTTCAATAAAATATACCTACGCACACATATCTAATCTATTGTATTATATTTTCTATATATATATATATATATAGAAAATATAATACAATAGATTAGAAAGTACTTATAAATAGTAAATATAAATTAGTAGTTCAAAACTTACTACCTAGGTATATATGAGCTATGGAAGATTGAAAACTCTTCGCACAGACATTTTTATGATAAAAAGGAGTTCAACAACTACAGGGAGGTACTAAGTAAAACTTGTGTTACTCAAATAAAGAATTTTTAATTTTTGAATATTTACCTATAAATAAATAAGATTAAGAATTCTCATAGAGTCATCAACTTCCAGAGCATTGGTAACTAGGTACTATGGACAGTTGATTAAGATCTTAATCTTGACCTTAAATATATAAATAATACCTATAGCTACCTAGTAAAAATACTTAGAAAAATGCAAATAGCAGTAGGTATAGACATATCTGTCCATGAATACCTACCAAGCATGTTTTCATTGTACAGGATGCAAACCCGCTATCATCGGTCGATGAGGCTGTGTACCAAACCACTAGACCACCAAGGTAAGGTGCATTTTATTATAATTATATCTATATCATTACATTATATAGCTTAATCATTATCAATATCATTATAAATATCATTATATCGTGTAGTACTTACTTGAGTATCTACCGAGAGCGGTAGGTCTAAATTTATTTAATACAGATAGGCATTAATTGAGATAAGCTAAGAGATAAGCATGGATTAGTACCTACCTACCCACATATACAAACAAACAACCATAGTGTATAACACAGGTAGGCCTAGATTGAAAAATAAGAGGAACAAGAATGTAAGAATGTAAGCTAACTAAATGAATATTGTTCCACCAATTGATTGTTGGGTAGATATACCTAGATAGATGCCTATACCTACTACGAAACTCTCTAAACAACTAAACACGGCTATTATCAAACCACTTACTGAATTAACTTTATCCCAACTTACTTTACTCACCTTCTATCTCAAACTTGTTTTGGATACTGCTATAATAAATTATTATACTGTGGCCGTAGTCACGTCAAAAATGGCAGAAAGTAAACTTTATTGCTTAGACTCTATAAATAACCCAAATTCATTGTCAGTGAGGAGGCGATGCGAAATGAAACGCTTATTAGTTAATATCAACTTCATATTTCAGTAATGTAGTTAGTTTATTGTGTTAATGTATTGGAGATTGCGGAGCGCGTGGCGATACAACACGCGTTCATCCGCGGCGGAATCCAGTCTCATATTGATTGCCGGTGACATTCTTATCAATACACCCCCGGCGCACGGCGGGCGACCGCACCATGAAACAGCCAAAAGAAACAGGAGCGTTTCTTCGCGCGTTCTCCGACTCAACGAAAAAAGGGCGGAGACACCGCGGCGGCGGCGTCGCCCAATCGAATCGGCCGCTGAACAGCGACCGACCAATCGCGGCCGATCGCCGGGGCGTTCGCGCGCACGCGGCCGCGCCCTCACCCAGTCCGGCTTTTTATTTATTGTTGCGCGGAACAGCGCGCGCGACGGGCGTGTGATGCGTGCGTAGTCAGATATTACGAGAATGGAGTCCGCCGTGGACTCAGCGTCGACAGCGAGCGAGGTGAGCGGATCCTCCGGGGGCTCGCCGAGGGTGAAGGCGGCGTCGCCGGCCCGAGCGCTCAGCCCGCCGCAGCTGCTGGCGCCGAGGCTGCCTCTGCCACCGCCGGGGCTGGGGCTGCTGGGCTCGCTGCAGATGATGCACCACTCGCCGCTAGAGCTGATGGCGGCGGCGCACCATCACGGCCCGCCGCGGTACGGCAGCCCGCCGCCCATCTCCACATCGGACCCCTCGGCCAACGAGTGCAAGCTGGTCGATTACCGCGGGCAGAAGGTCGCCGCGTTCATAATCCAGGGCGACACGATGCTGTGTCTGCCCCAAGCGTTCGAACTCTTCCTGAAACACTTGGTCGGCGGACTGCACACAGTGTACACAAAGCTAAAAAGACTGGACATAGTGCCGCTGGTGTGCAATGTGGAACAGGTGCGAATCCTGCGCGGGCTGGGCGCCATCCAGCCTGGCGTCAACCGGTGCAAGTTGCTCTCCTGCAAGGACTTCGACGTGCTGTACAGGGACTGCACCACAGCAAGGTACGTTCTGTTTATGAAAGCATACAATCGTTGTCGTGGATGTGACAGTTTTCCAGTTACATTTGTTATAATTAGATAGGTGTTATAGTTTGCAGGATATTGTTTTGCCATCAGTCTAGACGAGTGTTTTATTATTGGGTTTTGTTTGTGCTTTCGCCTTTACTTTTATTTTCACATTTTTGTATGAATTTTATTTTGTGGAATATTTTTATTATCCACTACGACCATGCTATACCTACGTTCCTACTTATCTATACTTAGTTGTATAGGCATATATATTAATATCTTCGAACATCCGATAATTCGCAACACAAATATGTTTCTTAATTTTTTATCTATACATAACATCATAATATACCTACTTACATTTTTTTGTTCTATTTCTTATATTTAGAGTACTTAATCATAATTCCCAATAAAGGTAGTTAGATAAATAATTTGCCTTTATGACGTCTCTACTAATGAATATTTTATTATTTAAATTTTCAAGATATCTACATACATATATACAGTACCTATTTATAAATAGTTGAATGTCACATATATTTTCCAAACAACCCGACAATGCCAGCGGGCTATGAATGGAGTCTCTGAGAGGACTATGGAAGCGGCTAGTTGCGTACGGGAGTGCTCTACCGGGAGGGTTAGCGTGCCATTAATTTTTCACATTTTAATACGCGCCAAATATTACCACCGGGTTAAATTTTAAAGTGCGCTTCGGCGACGGAAGGGTTAAATCCCTGTTAATTAGCGGTCGAGGCGTAAATTTTTAAATAGTAATTTTTACAAAAGCTAAAGTTAGATTAAAAAATCTTGTTTTGTTGTGGGAGCGCGCGTCGTCGCGTAGGCCTATACGGCGTAGTTGGTCGGATGCGATTTTAAAAATGTAATGTTCCCGTGGACGATGCGCCTGGGACGCGTAAAGTTTAATTTTTTCGCTCATATCGACGCTTTATGTTTGTAATAATTAATGTTTGTTTATTGCTAACGGAAACATTTGAGACACGCGGCAAAACAGGTGCCAGATGCAAGCGGCGACGCGTTACGCTCCTAATAAATAAAAAATAACACTATTACATTTTAAATTAATTATTTTAATCATTTTTTATTTATCAATGAGTCAGTCATTTTGTTGCTAGGTATATATTTATACTTTCCTGCCCTATAAATAGATAGGTATTTACTAGGTACCCACTTTGTGACGTCGAGATAGGTAAATATTATTATTTACTGCAAAATTAATCGTGTTAAAACACGGTTAACAATAAATACAGGTACCTACTACATATTGTAGATTAGAGGAATAAAACCTAGGTATAGAAACGAATATAAATGTATAATGTAATGTGAGTAGATTTTTTTTATTAGGTAGGTACATAGATAGATGTAGTGAAGATAATATATCTATGGAAATACATATAGCTAGATATATACTTAAAATATAAAATATATACATACACATAAAATGTTTTAAATACAAATTATTGATAACTCTATCTACTGATATCTAATGATGATATTCAATTCTACTCATAACAATTTTTATGATGATGAATACTGATGCTGTACGCTAAAAGGAGAGTAGACTATGATGGATAAGAATAAAGTCAGATGATTTAAGCTATTGTATTAAACCATGTAGTTATTTGGGAGGATCGTGTGGAAGTCGACTTGTTAGCTGGTAGTAATTGGTCTACTAGTCTAGTAGTACTAACAATCATCTCCCGTTAGGTATTATAATTATACCTAAATATTTATAGTACAATTACTAATTACTACAGTAAAATTATATTTATATTAGAACATTAAGTATACTCATTCGTGGTCAGACAATGTTATTAGAAGTGGTTAAACAATTTTATTTTTGTTTTGACTCTATTTCCGTTTCATGATTGGCAACCCTAACAATAGGAAAATAACTAAATAAACTAAATCTACATAACTGCGTAATAATCAATATTTAGATTATTTTTATATATTAAGTAGGTACATACATATTACTGATTTAATTATAATATATGTCTACCGGAAATATTTGACTCTACTTTAACTGCAGTATTGCAGTATTTTTAGCAATGCATAGTAACGATTAGTTATTTATTTTACAGGAAGTAGTTATTATAAGAAAACGGTATGGTTTTGCCTGTATTTTATCATTTCATTATCGCTCCCGTGATATTACAAAAACATTTAATATATAAAATATATTACAGATTCCAGTATATTCGTATATCTATGTACAAACAGTTTGTCCGTCTTTATAATATTTAGATTAGTTCATAATTGGACTTAAAAAACAAGGAGTTTTAATTTAGACTGTAATTTGTGCATATGTCATACAATCGCTAATTGTGACCGTTTTTCGATGATTATTTATGATTTTTTTATGGTTTATTTCTGTTAGAGTTTTGTACCAAAGTATAATATAGTTACGATTTAAGTTGTAATTTAATTTAACTATACCTGAGATATCTAATAATATAATAATACAAAATAATGTTGAAATTAAAAAAAGGAAATACAATAATAAAATATGGCAAACTAAAAAAAGTTCAACTCCGGCGGCGGTCTTCGTACCAAAGTCATGTCGAACTAATCCATATTGACACGTTTCCACCATTACGATTTCACTAATGCCATCAACTCACAATCACAACCGTGTTTCTTTTATTAAATAACACAGTTTTTTTTTGTTACAATAAAGTGCTGTGTATTTATAGATATTGCTTAATGGAAGTTTTATAGATAATCTCTTTATTTGTTTATCACCGCATATTTATAGTACCTATTTTCTTAGATTCCTATTTAGTTTGTTATAGAATTGCAATGATAAATTTATCCATCTATTACACGGCGGTTTACCTGATATTCTCGGTGGTCTAGCGGTTCAACGTACCACCTTACTTGCACTGGTTGCGGGTTCGATTCTTAGCACTATACTTACATTTGTTTTACATTCATGATTGTGATTATTTGTATTAGTCTAGGTTTTTTCTACGTATATAATGTATATGTAGTTCGTATAACACAAGCTTTACTAAGTTTGGTACTGAGATGATGCTGTGCATACTGTAATCGAAACATTAATTGTTATGTTATAATCATGATCTTTTTAAATCAATTTAGTTTTCAATATTATTAATCGATGACTGATACTGGCTCTGTGTTTTCGGTAATGAATCTCTTATGTGTAAATAGAGGAATGCAATAATGTGAACGTAGTTGTTGTCTAAGTTAGGAAGAGACTAGAATGTGACAGTATCAAATTTTAAACATGTACATACTGTATAGGGTGCTCTCAGAGAGACAGGCTTTACTAATGCACTTGTTTGTTATACACAATGTTTGTTACTTGTATTATTAATGGAAAAACATATATTAGTACCTCCTGTATTCTTGCTATTCTCTGTTTAAGAGAACTCTGTATAAGCAACATCTTGTGAAGATTTACATTAATATTTTAACACAAATGATGCCTAACATGGGGCAAGCCAAGTATTTTACAGTTAGTTGAGTTTAACTGGAGTAAGTTTTATTTGTCGATTTTTTTTGTTACATTTCAATAAAAAGTATTAATATATAAAAAGAAAGTAAGCTCAGAAATGAAAGCAGATTATAATCAGTGGAAGAATATGATATATTGCGCCGTTCATAAATAATAGAATAAAATTGTTAAAAATAATTATTAGGCACATTAATATTTTAATATGAATTGACACGTATTTATAATTCCAAAGCAGTAAGAAATGCGATATTTAAAAAAAAAACGGAATGCCCGCATTACAACACGCAGTGTAAATAATAAGAGGACGCTCCTTTTCACGCTTCAATAATTGCTCGACAGCAGATAAACGAGTGCGGATCGGATTACCTTCAAAGCTGAGAACGGAACTGTATGGGGTGTTGTGACTTCATTCAGGGTTGCCAACCTTAAAATATTTGGCTGCGTACGAAGAAGTCAAGTCAAATCACGTATATTAATTAGCTCTCTAACATCGTACATTTCCGTAAGTTTAACAAATTGCGTAGTACAAAAACTACTGTAAACTTGTTAGGGAATGAAAATAGCACTAGCACGAGACTACTATAATATGAGAAAACTTTTATATTTGGCATCCCTGCTTCACTCTAAACTCTTTTATTAGTAGGATTATTGTAAACCTTGGTACAGCTTTTAGCATGGGATTCCATTATCTCTTATCTGTCATATACATGAGAAGATGTTTAAATACCTAATTATAAATAATAATTAAGTATATTACGTTAAGATAACAAGAAGTTAATAGATATTTAACACAGCTTCTAAGTTTTATATTACGTATATTTTCATTTTCATGTTTCGTTTATTAAAAGCCATATTAGTCGACCTAAAGTCTAGGTAAAAGTAAAGAATTATGATTGTTTGTCTGAACCTATTCAAAGTGAATTTTGTAGATTTTATAGTTGCAATTGTTGCAAGCTTTGAAGTCATAGGTTTATGGTTTATGCAACCGTAATAACATTACGCTATAGTACAGACAAAAGTTATAGCGTGAATATTCAATTTGACACTGACTACTGTTATGGGTTTATTTTTTCTAATCAATGTGTCCAAAGCACAGGGTTCCGTCCATTGTCTCTGCTACAAAGAGCGAGGTTCAATTACGGAGGTCATCAACACGACTTTTTATGGAATTTTCAGCTTTACGACTCATTTTGATGGTCCGCCTTCAAACGGAGTGATATTTTGTAAATAAACAAAGCACTGAAATAACTGCCTCATTACCTTTGTAGAGCCGGTAGGTGTGTCGGAACTTCGGAAGAAGTTTTTTGTAGTTTTCAAACTTTGGTGTAGGTAGTTTAAAGGAGTAAAATGTTTAAAATGTGACCAGACTTGGCAATGGCGCTATTGCTTTCCGGCTACAATTTCCGGAAGATATTAGTTTGGTTGACATCATTACCTCCTTGTATATTATATGTATATAAATATACATATACCTATTTAAACTCATGACAAACAC